AGAAGCAGCTTGCTACTCGCGTACCGCGTCTGTCGGCCCTTGCGCCAGCCAAAGGAGCCCAACGAGTGACTGCGCAAGAGTGATGGCGCCGGGCAGCCGCCGTCTGTCAACTGGAATAATGTGCGGAAGGGGAAAGTTCGGACTGCCCTTAGACGGCCTGCATCGAAGCCCGTAACCGCGTCCAACTCGTTCAACAAGGTCAATGGGCAGTACTGGCGCAGCGGGAGTGCTTCTGAAGACGAGTCTGAGGCTGGAACCCGCGCAGAGGAGAGCAATGCTGTGGTAAAAGATGGAAGTGATGGCGATGGCGATCGTTCCAGTGATGATTCAACCGATCTTTCGGATGTCGACGACAACGACAGTTCCATCCTGTTGAATATGGACCAGCCGAGCACGGAAAACCCGCAGCTAGAACCACAGCCTGTACATACAAACGAGGAACAGCCACCAATGCCGCTTGACACAACCACCACTGTTGAAATTAAAGAAGAAACTGGACAATTGGAAGCCGAACAACCTGCTATCAAAGATGAAGATATAGACACAACTGCTCAGACGGCCTATACGTCGAAGTACAGCGTGCCCCCTCAGACCATTGCAGAGTTGAATGCGGAAGATTTCAAGAAGCAGTTAAAATACATACTGTATAACAGCACTGGCAATCCCGATCCTTCGACACCTGTTAGATGTATAGAGTGTTTCAGAGAAGGGCATCTATCAGACATCTGTCCCAACAAAAAGGTAAGTACAGTCCTCCTACCACTACCTGTCTGTGTGCCCTAACTCCTACAAACATAGTGCGAACATTGCGGTGCATGGGAAGCGCATGAGTCTAGATTCTGCCCAACTTGGCGTAGGTGCCAGAAATGCAGAGAGCGCGGCCATGACAAGGATTTATGTTCGGCACCACTTCAGGGGTCTGCTGCAGAGGTTCCTTGCGACTTGTGTGGCTCCGACCGGCACATCGAATCCCAGTGTGATTTAATGTGGAAGCAACCACATCCTACATATACCACTGGGAAGCTGTTCATTTCAATATCATGTGCACAGTGCGCCAGTTCTCAACATCTTATCGGAGACTGTCCGTCAATGCGTGCTCCATCACACTCTACATCTTGGAGCCTAAAGGCGTTTGACCCTTCTATTATCTCCAACACGAGTCTGTCGTCTACCGGTGTACCAAACGGGAGAACAAATGGTGCCATTCCCCAGTTGAAAATCAAAGGACGTGCGCAAAGGGAACCAACCCCAGAAGAGCATGAGCTTCATATAAGATCTCGTCCCCAGCCGCCTTCAGCGCCTCGCTCAAACATTAAGTTTGCTGAGGGCCTTGGGCGTGGGCGGAACCTGAGCTCAAACCAACCTCGCTCCAACGATAGTGGAAGTGATCGCTACACGCCTCGAGACTCTCAACGTGATTACCGGGAACGAGACCAGTACTTTAACCCCAATTCTCGTCCGCGATCCCGCTCTCCAGAGTCACGGTACGGTGGAAATCACCGTAGACCACCCCTTCCACCAAGCCGTGGAAGAGGTCCACCACCTCCTTCTCGCAACCCTGGAAGGGACCGAGGAAAGGGCAGAGGTGGTGGTGGTGGTGGTGGTGGCAGCCAGTGTGCTGGGAAAGAGTCCTCGAGGCCTATACCTGGTCGAGGTAAACGGAAAGGCAATCGAAACACTTGAACACCCGGCGTTATGAATTGCCCCAGATGATGATTAGAGACTTTGGATACCTACATTATCCCTAGTATTTGACTGGATCGAAGACCAACATTAATGGACTGTGGATTTATGTCTGTCGGCCATATCAAGAGGGAACCACAGTCCAGAATGACTACCCGCGGCACCAAACATGTGTGCTCATCAGATTTGCTGGATTTTCCAGACTATCTTGTTAAGAGTCTCGGTGCCCTGTGACCTATTTTTCCAACCTTTTTGTGAATGCCACTTCCAATGTCGAGCAGGACTGGAAGTTTAAACATGCTAGCACAGATGCTACGTGGAGAGTGTACGCACCGATCAAGGCACAGTTTCCACAGGAGATGCCATACCAATGCTGCAGCTCCAGCCAATACTGTAATTGGCAGCCGCTTGTGCATGTGCTTCATAACAGCACCGAAAATACAGAAAGTTACAGTGCCAGAGTCAACAGTCGAGGGGGGTTTCAGTGCTTCCTCCTGTGAGACTTCCCTCATATCATTATCACAAATGCAAGGTAAAAGCTCATTGTCTTTTGCATACTCCGTAGTTCTACTTCGTAAATCTAGCATCTATGTACTTACTAGGGATATGTCGCTTACCTAACCTCAAGGCCGTTCTCTGGTTCCGCAGAACCCGGTCTCAAGCACGTTGATCAATTCATCCAGACGTTCAATACAAAGGTCGGTATGTTCATGGTCCTTGAGGTCTCGGTTCCGCTCATTCAAGAGAAGCACAGTGGCGGCTCCGGCTTTATGTCCAGCTGTCATATCATCCAAGCTATCACCAACCTGCAAGGCTTATTAGCTATTTCCACAGCCATAACCAAGCCAGCAATTATACGCACCATGATCAAACCACTAGCATCCTCTAGCTCCCATGCTCGTGCAATGTGCAGTATCCCAGCCGGGTCGGGCTTAGGCATGATATTCGGTGTATCCCGAGTTATAATTGGTGCAAATACATGAGTAGCCAGGTGAGACTTGATAAGATGGTTTACCGGGCCACTTTAATCATTCAAACCGGCGTCAGTAAGTCATTGTATAGACGACTGTTGTAGGTGAGGGGTATATGAGGGGCAGGGCATTAAGCAACATACTCAAAGTTGCGTGTACACAGCGCCCGTTTGACACCCTTAGAATTGAGATAGTCCATAAGCTCGACAAGTCCTGGCTGAGGAACTTGTTTTACCATTGCCTTGCGCTCAATGTCACGAACAATCGCGATGGCGTCTGTCCTGGCAGTGAAGGTGGGCAGGCCTCGGATATGGTGGATTATATCGACCCCTTTCTCTATTCCGAGGGCATCTCTATAGCATAGTACATCAGTATGACATTGAACTAAATTATAGATGTACCATTCATCATATCCGTCTTCTTACCGCATCTCTTGGAACATGTAATGTTGTGGCAGGCTGGATCCGGATCCCTCATCAGCTACCCGTTAGCTTATCCGTACACTGGTTCTCAAAGGCCATATTTCAATTCCATATAAATGATTACTTGCCATAGTGTTCCATCGACATCGAATACGATTCCCTTCAATGCGGGTACATCTCCTCCATCGGCGTCCAAGGGTGCGAATCTGCGCTGGGCCATTGTCAGTGGCCGTAATACCGATGCAGATGCTGATGCTACTGCTGTGGACAGTGGGCGTGATGTGCAGCCAGAGAACAGTGCTCGAGTTGATCTATTGAGAATCATAGGAATCTATAGCTTGTAGATGTACGTGAAACGGAGGTGAAAGCAAACTCGAAGTTGTCCATCCTCTAGAGGAGCTTTGATATTAGCTAACCAACCGCTCAAAATGCCAAGACGGCGGAATCAGTTTAACTTAACTAACCAACGCTTGGCCATTCCATTAAACCACTTGGGCAACGGCTTTGTATACACATCTATGGCTTTTTGATAACCAGCAAATTTCTCTCATAAGTGCCGATCAACAAGGCGTGAAGAGTAACCACTCTATCCTAACCGGCAGACAATCGCTTAAATAACTACCAGTCAGTTAGCGCCGCGATGACGGCGGACGCGAGGGTTCTCATCCTCGATAAGCCCAATGCGGCGCAGATGAACCAAGATCTGATGCAGGCTTTCACCGAAGCCATCCAAAAGAATCCTGCTGCTGATCTACTATCGGTTATCGGGAGAGCGTATGTACGCGCTCACCGAGTGGTTCAATATCGAGAGCTCTCAGATGCAGGCCAGTTAAATCTACAGACCGCATATGATCTCTATGACGCCGTTATAGCTAATCCTGATATCAACCTGCGTGATCGTTTCCCATCGGACTATGACCGCAAATACAGATGGGCGAAACCAAAGTCGGTTGTTGCCGAGCCACCGAAGCCTGTGAAGCCGCGCGATTGGTTCAAGGAGAGGTTGGATAACATCCACTCTGCCAGAATTGTTTACCCGCTCTCTGACCGGGCCTCAGCCCTACTACAAAACTATTCCAAGTCCCGAGACTATTCTGATGAAGAAGCTCTTGCAAATTCATTGAAAAAGCTGGTACTGAACTCTGAAAGGCTGTTTGACAATATCATTAGAGGAGCTGTAGTTAAAGCCGACGACGATATTGCGATCAAGGTCTTTCCCGACAGCCGAGATCTTACTGAATATCACAACCTTCAATACCTCGCAAGCCATGCTTCAGACCTTCCAGTCCCAAGGGTGCATGGCCTAATCATGCTTGGGCATTACCGTGTTATGTTTATGTCCTATATTCAGGGCATCACCATTGATAAAGTGTGGTCGGGTTTATCTCATGAAGGAAAGGTCTCCCTAAAGGAGCAGCTGGGGAACATATTCTCAAGACTCAGATGCCTCCGTCAGGATGATGGACAAGAACTGGGAGGTTTGGGTGGTGAAGGAGTAAAGGATTACCGCATCATGGAAGTCTTTGCCTACAAGGGCATCACAACAGCGAAAGCGTTTAATGACTTGCAATTCTCCGCGAAACATCGTGCCAGCCCTTGCTATGCCAAGTTACTTCATTCTTTCCTAGAGATGCCAAACAAATCGCTACGAGGGGCAGTGTTTACTCATGGTGATTTGAAAAAGTCAAATATCATGGTAAAACAAACCTCAGAGGATCCTAATCAGTATACAATTACCGGGATAATAGATTGGGAAGACAGTGGATTCTACCCTGAATATTATGAAAGCACCACGATATCAAATGGACAGAGTATCGTGAACGACGATGACTGGTACCTCTACATGCCGGATTGCCTTTCCCCTCTACAATTCCCCTTATATTGGCTGGTGGATCGTCTGTGGGGTAATCTGCTCTGGAACTGGCGAACAGATATAGTTCGATGAATCAATCCCCTTCAAGCCTTCATCCCAGCAGCCAACCATACTGTCCATCAGTTCCTATTTCCATGCTTCCCGTTTCGCCTTCACAATGCCCTTGTTACGCTGGTAGTCGGGATTTTCCGCATCGACAATGTCTGCCCGCTCCAACCCTTCTAAAACATCAAGGACAAAGTCCTGGCAACTGTAGTCTGGCTCTTCATTGCGTACCGGGGTTTCCCAAGCAATGTTCTTGATGGTTTCAATCTTGCTCGCGTCGATTTCACACAAAGCACAGAGTTCAACAACAGAAGCCGAGTTACGCGCATCGGATGGAGTTCTCACGTCACGAAAATATCTTTGACGAGCACCGAGAAGATGAATGATGGTTTTTGCCGGCTTCTCCTCGGCATCGATGAATAGGCTCCAGTGTTTAATACCTGGGTTATCGTAGATTGCAATCATGAGCGGAACAGTGGAAGCCATCTTGATTTTGGACCGTCTAAGCAAAAGACACAACGGTGTTTCTAAGGTTATTCAACTCCAAGCTTTCTGTCTAATATATTTGTTTAATTCCGTGGTGAGCTTGGGAGTTTTTTGAGTGTAAACGCAGGCGTTCTTGTTCTCACAAGTAGCAAGTAGTAACTAGTTAGTTAAATACGAGGGAACTCGAACCAGAGTAAGGGCGGGGGAGGGGAGAAAGAAACATGGATGTTCACTATCTAGACTGCTGCCTGGCCTTGGTCTCATATTGGTGATCCCTGTACCGTTGAACATCGAGGAATAACAGATGGAGTTCATATATTGGGTTTATCTCTTGAGTCTATATCACATGTCTAGGCGCCATCAAGGCAAGAATTTGTATTCAAAGCCTAGAATATGTATAGGATCTAATAAAGAGCTACTGATGAAGAAAGGCGTGACGTCGTGGAATCTAGACAGCTACTTAACCACTATAGCTTGAAGCAGAAGAATTCCAAGGATATATGTATCAAGACCCCCGTTTCCCAAAGCCCAAGTAGAAACTAAAAGAAAAGAAGCTGGCTATAGATAAAATAGGATAAACCGAATGATCAATAAAAAAGGGAAGAAACCATATACATGCATCCGATCGTACGTATCAACTGGTACAAAACGAAACTGGAGGACGTGGCTGAGGAACAAACAACAATTAAACACGCTAGGTTAGAAAAGAATAAAAAAGGATCATAGCTGCATGACAGAGAAAAAAGAACAAAATCAGGAAATGAAATCATGAATTATTCTTCTCATTATTTTGAATTTTGGAGGGAAGTTGTTTTTTCTGTGTTTTTTTTTTTTTTGCGGCGAGGAGTAGTAAAAAACATAACTTTTTTTTTTTTTTTTTTTTTTTTTTTTTTTGGTATAGCGGGAGCTTTGCGTGGCGGGCGGGAAGAGGTAATTGACGTGCTTGCTTGCTTGCTTGCTGTGCTGAACGCTATTTATCAAAAGGCAAAAAGTGAAGTGTGTCGGGAGGAAGAAGGTTGGTACAATGTTCAAATAACGGAGTCAATATCAACGCCCATGAAGAAAAGGGAGATAAGGGGGGAGGGGAATTAAGGCTTGATCCAATATTCAAGCGTAAGTAAGGTAAGGTAAGGTAGGGGGTAACATCAAGAAATAAAAGAAGATAAAGCAATAGGATGGAAAAAATTGCAGAACTTGAAATCAGTAGTCGTCATAATCGTACTGGGATCGCTGAGAGCCCAGGGTGCCATTATTTTTGCCGGAGCTTGTCAGTGGTCGGGGACCGGTTGGTTTTCGTTGTGGGACGCCTCTTCCTGGAGAAGATCTGGACGGGGAGCTATTGTTCTACGGAACGTTAGTATACGAATGCATTGGAGTTTAAGCGGTTAGGGTTAGGGTTGGAACTCACAACATGGTCAACCATGCGAGCTGTGCCTTCTCGCATCGCCATGCGCTCTGCATAGCTCGGGTTCGGGTCATCGCTTAACTTGGATGAACGCTGTGGTATCAAGGGACCATCGTCTCTGATCTTAGGTGGTCGGGCAGGACCGGATTGGCTCATTATTGATGATCCGACTGAATATGCGCCGGCGGACATGGGGCGGTGGTTATCCGCCGCGCTGGATGGGCGGTCGCGGTTAAGTGCCCCGAGAGTCGGGTTTGATGCCCATGCGTCGGAATTAGGGGAAGTGGGGACTCCGTAGTGCTGGGCCTGGGATTCCAGCTGTGTCTGGTACCGAGATGTAGGGCCCTGGCGGGGCTGCGGGTGTTGAAGGTTCAAGCTGTCCCGATGAGCTCTGTATTTGGGAATTTCAGAGACCTGGGAGGGAACGAGGGGAGAAGGAGGACGGTTCTCTGTGCCTGCGGCATCCTTGTTGACGCTCGTGGTGGAGCGGAGCCGATCGTCACCGCGGTGGTCGTAGTATTCGGCGGTGGTGTAGTTTGCGTTTTCCAGATCGGAGTTTGATCTCGATGCGTCGGAAGATAAGCGTTCTTTGCGATTTGGCTGGATGCTGTTGCGGATGTTTTCGCCCATGGAAGATGCGGTTGTTCTGGACCAGCGGGATATCTTTGGGAAGAAGGATGAGCTGCTCGATTTTGTCTTGCGGGATTTCTCATTGGACATCTTGGGCGTGGTGTCTGCACTTGGCGGCGAGGCAACGGGGACTCGCTCGGGGGTTGCAAGGGGTACTGAAGCGCCTCGCTTATGCCGGCCGACAAAGCGGGAGCCAGGAGGAGTTGGGTTTTCGAGAATCTCCTGCTCGTCGCGGGTTAGAGGCTCCTCTTCGTTTTCTTCCATGACGGGACTGATATTGCGCTGGGAAGACTGGACGCGGACGTCTGCACGGAGTGGTGAGGAGTTATATGGCGATTGTTCGGCGGTGGTAGCACCACTGCGATCGTGATCGTCATATCCATCTGCATTGCCCTGTCCGTTGCCGTTGATATTCTCAGCAGAGGTACCCATGACAGGGGCTCGTCCCTCCTGGGCCGCGCGCAGAGCCTCAACTTCCGTCAACAGATGAAGAAGCATTTCCTCGATATTAGTCAGATCGCCGGAGCTCTTCAAACTGAGTGTTTTCAAAGCCCGCTTGAACACATTCTTCTTCTTCGAACGCATCTCCTCCTCAAATTCGCTGGACATCTTGCTGTGGGTGCGGGGAGTGATCATGGGTCGAGGACCACCGATGGCCTTCTGGGTACGGTCATGGCCCTTGGAGTTTGCATCAAGAAGCATCTCGTCTTGCTGGGCGATGTATTTCTTCATATCCTCGAAGGAGTTGCGCATTTCCGCAGCGCTGCGGACAAGAGTGATCAGGATCTCGGTGTCTCTTGCATTTCGCTGGGCATCACGAACCGTCAACTGGATAACATGTTAGTACAGACTGATGTTTACTTATTACGTTTGGTGACGGGTAATTAAAAAGGTAAGATCTTACATGGTCCATGAGGGCGACGATATCCTTAGACTGAATCCTATCGATGCCTCGACCAGTCGAGCTATCGTACAGCGGCGAAGGCATTCCATGAGAATAGCCGCTCAAGTGCCGCTTATGTTTATCGTTAAACGGATCATCGACCTCCATCGGACTCCCAAGGCCACCGACGATATCATTCGACAGGTCGAATCCTTTACCCTTTGGCTCTGGCGTAGCACTGCTGTTAGACCTATGATTTGCACCAGATATGTACCCTTCATCCCGTGGATTGGGAGAAGTCATATCGAAGTGGTCGTTTCCATAGGGATTAGGACCAAGACCTTTGTCCAAATCAAAACGGTCACGACCGGGCTCTTCCGAGATCACACCCAGACCACCCGCAGCACCGTAACCGGCGCCAGGTAGATCGGCATCGTTGAGCTCGCGTTCGGGGGAGAGGAGCTGTCTGCCCGATTGGGGCGGGCTGGGCTCGTAGGGCCAATGGTCGCGACCTTCGTGCGGGACGCCGCCAATAGGGCCCTGAATAATGGAAGGGTTGGTGTTGATGTCTGATTCGGTGTCGACCATGTGGCCTATTTCAGGGATCGGGCTACCGGAGTTGGGCAGTGCATTGGCACCAAGGATAGGCCGGTCTTCTTCCTCGTCTTCCTCGTCCTCTTCAGACTGCGCAGTGCTGTGTGGTGGAGACGTCACGCCCATGCGTTCGTGGAATGGACGTTCATCAACACTTGGTGGTCCCGCGGGTTCATCATCATCAACCACTCGGTCGTCCTCGTGTTGGTGGTCAACGTCAGCATCTTCCTCATCTTCATAGGGCTCCTCTTCTTCCTCTACATGGTCATGCTCGTGCTGGTCCTCTTCTGCCTCATGTTCATCCTCTTCATTGAGATCCAAGTGTCTGTTTGGGCCCTCGCCCTCACCTTCCCCTTCATCGCCTTCCATGCCAGGGGTATAGCTCCTTGACGAGCGATTGACAAGTGGATGCGGCGAACGAGTCGAAACCTGTGAAGGATCCAAGAGAGACGCAACTGCCGACTCAACTCCAACGGGAGTATGCACGTACTGCACATTCGTAGCACGGCAACCAGCAATCTGCTGTCCCTGGTCAAGAGGATCCGTAAAAGTGTCGTCGGTATAATTAGTCATGTGTTTGGAATCGATGTCAATGTCACGGTCATGGTCAAGGTCGTGGTCATGGTCGCGGTCGTGGTCATGGTCATGGTCATGCTCGTCATGGTCCCAGTAACTAGGTGAGTTCCTCTGTGATTCACCGATATCCAGCTTGGAGCCCAGCTCTTCGTCCGGAATGGTGGGAGGATGGCGGTGGCTGTAGTCTGCCGTCCGGGTTGATCTGGCCAGATCTGTGCTTGCGGCCGAGGAGAGAGACTCAATTGACAGTCTTTGCGGTTGTTTGGAAGCTTCGTCACCTTCCTGGCCGGGAGTCAAGCTGCGATTGTGGTGCTCGTCAGCCTGATAGCTAGCCACGCTCTGAATGGGGCTGAGAGCGCGGTTATTAGAGAAGTTGAGGTCGAGGTCATGGTGTTGTGGCTCGAGGGCCTTTGGAGTTGGAGACTCGTTGTATTCACGGGTGATCTCCTCTGAGAGCCCACTGCCCAGGTCCCTGGCATGCTGGTGGTTTCTGCTGTCATCAGGGGTCATACGGCCAATGGGAGAGGCGAGTGCTCGAGGAGAGCCCCTGGACACTTCACCTTCGAGGGCGGTAGCAGTCTGGGCCGACTGCTGCGAGAGGATGGACTGTCTGGTCATATCGGAGTCAATGCCGCTGCGGAAAGGCATGGGAGCAACATCGTGCTTTTGGAAGATGAGTTCAGTATCGTTGTATCCGGGAGCTGTTCCGGCTCCGGCTCCACGACTACCGCTAGCAAGAGAGCTCTTGCTACGTTTGTGAACCCTGTCCCGGCGACCCAGGCTTGAGTTTGAATCATGGTGCTTCAGGGCTGCGGTGGTCAAGGCAGTTCCAACAATCTTAGCAGCCTCAGCATCGCGTAGGCCCTTGCTCTTCTTCCGGCTGACCCCTGGCGCTTCTACCGAGAGATGATCATGACGCGAGGAGCTCCGTTCACGACCGGGACTGGCTCGCTTCTCATGCCTTCGTTCCTTGGACCTCGAGGAGGAGTGGGATTCAGGAGACCGGACGGGCGAGCTTGTATTATTACGCTCAGCATCCAGGCCGAGGCTTCTAGAGACATCTGGAGCACTGAACCGCTTTACCAGCTTTGAGGAGGCAGCAACATCCTCCTTGGAGGACTTGTGGGCGGCGGTGCCGGCACCAGCAGCACCACGACCAGCCTTGATTCGGGCTAAAGGGTCATCTTTCTGGTCCTTCTTGAGCTCCTTTAGTTCAGGCAGGATGAGTCGACGAATGGCATCCTCGACAGTCTCGAGCAGTTTAGGGTTATTGAGGGATGATCGAGAGGTACCTGATCTGAAGGAGTACTGATCACCGTTCCCGGTCTTACCGTTGTTTCCAGACGCAAGGGAAGTACTGAGATAGCTCGACTCGGGACTAGTCATGTCTCGTTCTCTATTCTTTCCAGAGCGTTTGGAGCTGTAATCCAGGCCACCCGAGGAGCTTCCTTCTCCATAACGGTGTTTTGAACGAGTGCGGTCCCGAGAACCAGAGCCACCACTGATCTTCTCGGCGGCCTTTTGAGCAATCCTCTCACGGCTGAGACTTCGACTGCGTCTTCTGGAGGGTGTCTTGAGCAAGTCACGCAAGTCCGTGGCCGGCTCAGTCTCATCTCCACTGAGACTGTGGCTTCGATGGCGATTTGTATGAGTTTCCGAGAGCACTAGGGGCCCGTCGAGCATGCTGTCTGCGGGCATGGAAGAGATGTCCGATGTAGGCTGGATGTATCTTGACGAGACCTCGCTGTCCCTGTTGACGATCTCGATCTCTACGGGATGGCCCCGCGAGGCACCTATATCATCCGCTCCATCAGTCAGGGAGCTCAGACTACCATCATCATCAGCTCCGGCTCCTGCAGCACCACCTCTACCGGCATCCTTCGAGGATCTGGTGGGCGTGCTGAGCGAGATGCGTCTGGTATACGATGGTCTTCTCCCTCCGCTGTTTTCACTGATGTGTATGCGGTCTCTGTCTCTGTCCCTGTCCCTGTCCCTGTCTCTGGTCTTCCTGCTGGATGAAGGAGTGACTCTGACCCTGACGCTTGGCCGAGAACTGATGCCACCGCTGCCGGACCCTTTCTTGCCGCCCTCAAAGTACTCTATGAGCAACGAGGTCTGGGAGTGATGCGAGGAGCGAGACATCTTCCCTCCGCCGCCGCCTCCCCCGTCTTCGCGGTCCCTGTCCCTGTCCCGCGGCCGCGAGGAACGACGGCGGGTGGAGATGGTGATGGGGCTGCCATCTTCCGGGATGGAGTAGGACGTCTTGTCAGTCCGGCGGGAGAGGTCAGTGGCAAGGTCGGTGGCAGTGCCTGTGGTGCTGGCGACTGTGGTGTCGAGGACGGACTCTGTTGGGGCCGGGAGGATGGGTCTGCGGGTGTCGACACCCATGGTTCTCTCTGTCCCTTTCTTTTTTGGTCTCCTCTTTTCTTCAGCAGGCCACTATCATAGTCAGGTCGATGGCGGCAACGGGTATATCTAGCAAGGCTCAAGGAGTTTTATTTTTATTTCTATCTTTTGCTGTTTCGCCGTTGGCGTTGGTGGTGGTGGACGATTTGTTTGTCGGTGTAAGTGAAGAAGTAAATAAAAATAGACAACACCGAAAAAGAAGCTGGTTTCTTCTGACTAGTAAAAGCGAAGAAAAGAAGAACTCGTCTTTATCCTTGGGAGATGTCTCTGTCTGCTTTTCTCTTCCTGGCCCTCGGTCCTTCTGGTGAGGCGAGAGTGACTTGGAGGCTGCGGGTTGACGGTGGTTGGTGGTTGGCGATGCTTTGTTGTCAGCGGCGGGAGAAGGAAAAAAGCGAAGACGACGAAGGAAGAAGCCCTGCTGGTCCCTGTCGACTGACCGAGCAAGCAAACGAAGAAGAATTGAAGAGAAGAACCAGAAGGGAACAAGGATACAATTACAAGAAGACGGACCTTGAAGAGTGTAGAGAAGAAGAGCAAAAAGAGGATGTCTGTCTGTCTGTCTGCGTCCCTCCACCCCCAGCCATCAATGTCGCTTTGACTAGCGCCAGTGGACCAGCCACTCTTATTATTTACTCCGGGCTTTTTTCTTCCTTGCCAGCCTCAAGATATCAACCTAACTAAGCTACGACGGGATCCAGCGAGATGGCATGACAGCGAGAGTGACAGCGAGAGTGACAGAAGTCCGTGATGGGGGAGAGACGAGACCCCGAGAGAGCCGTTGACTGACCTTCAACAGACAGATAACCGCCATCCAGTCTCTTCTCCAAGTCTCTTCTCCAAGTCTCTGCCTCTGCTTCTTCTCTTCTTCTCTTCTTCTCTTCTACTTCTCCATCCTTCCGTCCCCCGGTCAACCAGCGTCCTGGCCCTCGTCGCCCATCCCTGCCCTTCTCCATCTCCCCCAAGGCCGCGGCATCCCCTGATTGGCCTCTGCTCCCTCTGCTCGTCTGTGGTCTTTGTCCGTGGCCTTGTCTGTGGCCCGCCTCTGCGCTCTTCTTTGGCCAGTCTCTGCTCGTTCGCTCGCTCGCTGTCGTGCCAACGCATCAACCTCCCTTTCCTGCAGGGTCGCACTAAGGTAAACTCTCTCGCCGTCGCTTGATGATCCCCGTAGCCGACTCCATCGTTAGTCGCCGTAGAGAGTACTCCGTAGAGTAGAAGTAGTAGAAGCTGCAGGAGGAGCCGTCGTAGTTGTCCATAGCTGTCTGTAGCAACCATCCTGGCGTCTCTTTCTCTCGCTTCTCTTCACATCAAACCAGCAGTCAAACATCAAACCTGCAAGAGGCGCACCATCACCAGCCACACTCACAGTCTCTCCCAGTCCTTCTCTTCTTACTTCTCTTCTTACTTCTCTCCTTTCTTCTCTCCTACTTCTCTTCTTCAACTTCTCTTCTTCCTCCTGACGCGTGTCTTCTCGTCCTGCCGGGCTGTGCAAGTCTTAAAACGACTCGCTCGGCGGTTAAAAAGGGGGGCCTCTCCTTTGACCTGTGACGCCCTCGATACGCTGTAATACAGGCCAGTTTTGCAGTGGCTTGGCATCTCGTTACGGCTTCAATACGAAAGTTACCCCGCCTGAGACAAGCGCCAAGCCTGAAGACGCAGCAAAAGAAGAAAAGAAAGAAAACGACGTCGTCGACTTTTTGACGAACTTCACGACTTCAACTTCACGACTTCATCTTCACGACGTCGACTTCAACTTCTTCCTCCTCTCGACCTATTCTGGCCTTCGTCTTATCCTCTTCTCTCGCTCCTCGCCCTCGCCTCGACCTCTCCTACCGACACTCCCGACTGCACGGAGACGCTCACTCGCTCGCTAGTCTCCTGCGCTCCCCGGCTGACGACGCATCTCCCGGCCGCCCCAGACTCCACGATAGTCCAGACCGGAAGACAGCAAAACAGGAAGACATTGAGAAAGAAGACACGGAGACGGACGACAAACAGATAGACAGACAGACGCAGACACAGATTGAAGTCTCGCTGGCCGACTTCGCAGGGGATGACGACGCCCAGCTGCTAAGACATCACCACCAGCCACACGACCGTCCCAGACCTCATCTCACCTCCGGCAAAGACAAGACACCCTCACACGACACACCAAGACTCACGACAAACAACTGCCAAAATGCATCTAACGCCGTTACTCTCGTTCCTCTTCGCGCTGCTTTCCTTCTCCCGTCTCGCGGCTGGCCTCAAGCTCATCGAGTCCAAGTCCCTCACGCCCTGCACCAACACCGCTACCCAGAACAACGCCGACTTCACCGCATCCGAGTTCAACATCGCCTTCACCCCGGAGAACCGCACCCTACGTGTCAACTTCCATGGCGTCTCCTCCATCAAGGGCTTCGTCAATGCCCGCATCGAGCTCTTCGCCTATGGCTACCCGGCCCTCGACCAGCGCTTTGATCCGTGCAAGTCCGGACTCGACCTCCAGGGCCTCTGTCCCATGACGGCCGGGCCCATCGACCTCATGACCGACTTTGTCGACGTCTCAGACGAGGTCATCAACAAAGTCCCTGGTTAGTCTTTTCAGTCTCTTCTTGTTGTCCATATCTGCTGCTTCGTTCTAACGGACTACTAGGTATTGCGTATAATGTCCCCGATATCGACGCCAAGTTCCGGGCCTACATCTATGCTGCTGATTCTGGATCAACCATCGCCTGCTTCGAGGGACAGCTCTCCAACGCCAAAACAGTCTACCACAGAACCGTAGGATGGATCGTCGCCGTCATCGCTGGCATCGGCCTCATTGCCTCTGCCATCACCTCGGGTCTCGGCCACTCCAACACAGCCGCCCACGTAGCTGCCAATGCCCTCTCGCTCTTCAGCTTCCTCCAGGCTCAGGCCATGATCGGTCTCACCTCCGTCACCTTGCCGCCTGTCGTCCAGGCTTGGACCCAGAACTTCCAGTGGAGCATGGGCATCATCCACGTCACCTTCATCCAGAACATCTGCACCTGGTACCAGCGCGCGACGGGCGGAACCCCAACTAACGTGCTCAACTCTCCCTCCACCACCTCCATCCAGATCAAGAAACGCTCATTGGAGTACATGCGGAATGTTGTCTTTACCTATCCCAATGGCCTGACCAAGCGTGTCAACAATGAACCCACCGTCGGAGAAACTATCAACAACATCGTCCTGCGTGGCATCGATAGAGTAGCCTACCGAGCCAAGATGGAGACCACAAACGTCTTCATGACCGGCCTGCTCTTCTTCGTTATCTTCGTCACCTTTGTCGTGCTCCTCGTTACCGCCTTCAAGGGCTTCTGTGAAATCGCCGCCAAGAAGGGCTGGATGAAGAGTGACAAGTTCCAGGACTTTAGGAACGGATGGAAGATTGTCATGCGCGGAATCCTCTTCAGACTGGTGCGTTTCTCTCTCTCTCTCTCTCTCTCTCTCTCTCTCTCTCTCTGTTCTTTGCTTTTCTTTTCTCCCACGTCTTTTTCCCAGATTTTGTGCTTGAATTGCATCTAACATATATACAGACCTTGATTGGCTTCCCTCAAATGGCAATTCTCTGTCTCTGGGAGTTCACCCAGGTCGACTCCCCAGCCATTGTTGTCCTGGCAGTCGTGATGTTGCTCTCCATCATCGGCTCTCTCGGCTGGGCTGCCTTCAAAGTCATCAACCTCGCAAAGAAGTCCGTCCAGATGCATAAGAACCCAGCCTACATCCTCTACTCTGACCCTTCCGCCCTCAACAAGTGGGGGTTCCTCTACGTCCAGTACCGGGCTACTGCTTACTACTGCGTCGTCCCGCTTCTCGCCTACATCCTCATCAAGTCCATGTTCATCGGCCTCGCCCAGAAGGCTCCCTACGTCCAGGCCATCTCCCTCCTCATCATCGAACTGGCCGTCCTCGTTGGTGTCTCTATCCTGCGGCCGTGGATGGACAAGAAGACAAACATCTTCAACATCTCCATTGCCGCCGTCAACTTCTTCAACGTCATCCTCCTCCTATTCTTCAGCGAAATCTTCAAGCTCCCAGTAAGCATACTCTATCCCATAACCCCAAATAATATACAATCACTAACTAACGTCCCCAGGGCCTTGTCGTCGGAGTAATGGGCGTAGCCTTCTTCGTCATCAACGCCGTCTTCGCCCTCATCCTTCTCATTCTCGTCCTTATTGCGTCCGGATACGCCATTCTCTCCAAGAACCCCGATACCCGCTACCAACCCATGCGCGACGACCGCGGCTCTTTCATCAAATCCCACACCCAACTCACCACCGAACTCGACGCCCTCGGCGCCACCGGCCCGCGGAGAAGGAAGTTCAATGAGTCGAAGGACGACTC